AAATACGCTGTAATCTGCGTTGATTCAAAAAACCTTGGTCCAATTTAACTCCTGCTTCTCTTCTTGTGACCCTCTGACAATAATCATGTAACACCAAATCCATAATTTACAGGGTCGTCGTTATAATTTTGTTTTTTGTTGGATCCCTGGTCACTTTGGGATAAAGGGGAATGAAATTGCTGACCAGGCAGCAAAGCTCTCCACAATAAATACTTAGGAGTCTGACATTTAAAGCATTATCTCTGAGAGAAGAGGATTTCGTCAGTTATTTGGCTTATAAATGGAGATTTAGTGTTGATCTAGCTCTTTTCTGCCAACTCCTTTATTAAATAATCGAACACAGTTTATTTTCAGTTTTACCTACATTTTACCTTGCATTAAAAATGTTTTAGTCTAACACTGCTAGAGAGTGCGTATTGCTCTCTCTTCTTTTAAACATTTTTTCAACTTATTCGATTTGTAAAATTCGTGTCACATCACATCAATTGTCTTCCTGTGCATCTGTATGAACCGATTTAAGTAAACTAATGAATATATCAACATGGAATTTAACAAAACAATACAATATAATCAGTACCCACGTAGATAAACCTAACGGTTCCGAAATTATTACTTTCTCGTCTTACGAAATCTTCGTAAGAGAAAAACCGTGCGCCAGAAAACGCTTATTGTCGGACTCTGGTAACGAAAAAGTGGAACAATCCTATTGCTAAAGTATATGCGAGAAAATAGGACCACTAGTTTAATTCACAATTACAGTTTGAACATGGTATAGAATATGGATTTCACAATAGTTTTTTAATTGGCTGTCCGAGTGACGCCGCGTCCATGGCGAAGGTGCCGACGTTTCGGTCGCCAATCTGCGACCTTCCTCAGGGCGTAAATACTGACTCCAGCCGCGAAAACCTACGCTCTCACTTCACTTTTAATGAATATGAAACAAAATTATTAGATGAAAAGGGAATTCATTTTACAATACATCTCGAGTTTCCAAACATGTTTGGTTGTCTAAAACGATCTTCAGTTGAGAGCAGAATTTCTAATGGAGTTTATAAGAGCAAATCTTAATCACAATAGATCAGAGGGATCGAATTCTGCAACAACTGATTTGTCTTTCTGTAGATTCTTTAAAATATCTTAGTTTTTCTAAACCAGAATATTTTTTTACCAAAAATTCTGGCTCTTTTGGTAGTTGAGATACTTCATCATCCACTGAACCACACCATCACACATCATGTTTCACTGATACCATTAGAGGCTGACCCCTTGGTGCTTTTGTATTGGCTAGCTACTCAGACTTGCCATCTATCACCGCCCAAAGTCCATTTTTTTTTATTATTATTATTTTTTTTTTTACGTTTTGAGTGTCGTAATTGTAGAGCGAACATACTTTTTTATGATTATTAAATAACAGTAAAACCAGGTCCTAAATGGCAATTTTCTTTGAAAAATTTGGGGCCGTTTGAAAAAAAAAAAGAAAAGTGTTTAAGCGCTTCTGAAAATTCGAACTTTGAAGCTCTTTTTCACAGTAAAGTTTAGATATTTCGAAAAACTTTATCTGAAGTCATTTTAAGTACTTTATCTCACAAATACAATAGCGTTTACGAATTGATAGAAATGTGCGTATCAACGGCATAGATCTTTCAAAAATTTATATTTGTGTATTTTTTAAAGGAAAAAAAAAACCCTCCGAAATGATCTTAAAGTCATATTAAAGAGTGGAATTAGCACTAATCGTTCGAACGTGTAAAGAAAAAATTTGGAGACGTTTTTGAGAAAATGGCATTTGAGCATTTCTAAATATGAGTTTTGTGACAGTTTTTACAGAAAACGGTAAAGTTTTGGAGAAACTTTATACAGCATTATTAATGCACCACTAGCCCTTGCAAAAGTTTAAAGAAAAAATTTGGAGCCTTTTTGAAGAAAATCTTGTTTTTTTTTGTTTTTTTTTTTTTTTTTTTTTTAATTGGACATATGCGGCGGAAAACTACTAAAACTTTCAAAAAAATGTACATGATCTTAATGAAAGACCTCACTATGGAAAACAAATTTTACTTGAAGGGAAAATCTGTTTCTTTAATTTTGTAGTTGTAGGAAGATACTGAAAAAAATCATACTTTTAAAATTTTCGAAAATTCAGTGTTAACCGTAAAAATTGGACCTATGCCACGTGTATAAGTGTATGTTACTCTATTCTCTCAAGAAACTTACAGAAACAAATTGAAGCCATTTTGAGAAAATTTTGAAAATATCCGGACCGCTGCATGTTAAGTACCCCCAAATTTGAACAATGTTTTTTTAAATCTCAAAGTTTCGACTCGAGCCAGATGGACTATGGTTTCTTCAATTTGGAAAAAAAACTATGCATGGTTTAGGTGCTAGTAGTGTTCAGACACCAGTGGGACAGACACAGACAAGCAGACGGTTTGACATTTCGGAAAAACTACTTTTACCAATCAGGGGACCCCAAAACATGTATTTCCGTTGAAATCTCAGAATCAATTTTCATAACTTTCCCTATACTAGGGAGTATATGAGGAAGTAAAAATTGGAGGAGTAGTAAACCGGTTTTGAAATTTATGCTACCCATTGCAACATCTGGAACACTTTTGTTGAAAATCTGGATTCTTGAAGGACATTTCAAACATTTCTACTTCATATTTGCAATCAATTATCCCCCTCCAGAAATAAACTCACTTCTTCTCAACTGAAACAATATTTAGCTTTATTTAGTCAAAAAACAATAAAAAAATTTTGTGACGTGTGGGGAGAAGATCATTTGTGCACATTTCCTTGAGTTCCAGAATTCCTTCCCATCATTTTAACTATAAATAGTTGAAAGATGAATTAAAGTTAAATAAATAAAATTTTAAAAAAGCGTGAGATTAGAGATATTTGTAAAACTAGACATTTTTGTTCCAGAGTTATAGAAAACATATTTGCAATGGTAAACGAATTGCTAGTAACTCTCCCTTACCTCTACTCCATCAACTATAAGCAAAAGGAGAGTTCAACAAAATGTGTGCATAGTGAAGCTACAATTACGATCAGAAGCAAAACAAGAGGCCATCTCAGCATTTTCTCAATGGCTGGGATATCCCCCCCTCCCTATCACTGAATAAAAGCATTTTAACAGGAAGTAATGAATTAAGTCAGTTCTTTTTGACTTGATGTGAGGAAATAAGCAACTGTCCAGTGCTTATGAGACTGCAAACTTTTAGGAATTTAGGCAAAAATAGACATTTATAGCAAAATGAAAAATCTCTATGTAACCTCAGTAATGTCGTTTGTCGAGATTCATTTTCAAAATATAAAATTGAAATTGTTATATATTGTTTTGATTTCTTTCATTTTTCTGCTCTTCAAGATCATGCCTTCTAATTTTTGGTATTAAATTTTGCTAGATATCTCCTGTAACTTATATTCTGGGCCCTAAAAAATATTCTAAATAACATTCATACTAAATACAATTGCCTCCTTAAGAATATGATTTCTAAAACCACCATATTTGAAATGTTTCATAAATCCATTAAGTTCCAAATTTTGAAAATTAACCAACATTTTTTTATTGTGTTTTTTTATGTTCTAACAATCTGTATGCACATTATTTTTGGAAATTTAAGTATTACCTAAATTAGTTTTTGACACTTTTAAAAATGACACAAATGCAATCTGATGTTCTCATGTTCCTGTTATGCAGTGCACACTTTGTCCTTGCCCTAGAGACTTTGATAAAGAATTATTAACATTTCCCCCTACTAATATTCGTATTGAGGAATGTTTTGGTAAGAGCAGCATGTCTTCTTTTCAGGAGCAAAGTTTGAGGTTCATTTTCACCACAGTACCAGACTAGAGCAATAGCAATGTGTGAGGCACTGATGTGTAGCATCAGTGAAATGTGTTAAAATAGTAAATAGCTGTTTTCTCCTGAAATATTAATTGTATATTTCTGTGCACTTCTTCACTCCTCACATGAATGTATTTTATTGTGCCATTCGGTTGAAGAGCTGATTTGCAAACTTATTCTTCCTTGGCAATCTATACCAGTGGTGTGAAACCTGTATTATTTGAAAGTAATTTCAGGAAATAGTTTTCTTTTCAAATTGGGATTACTTCAAGCATTACATATGACTGGAATCAAAAGTTTAATATAAATTTCTTTACACTAGTTAGAACCAAACATTTTGATTATGCATCAAAAAGCAACGATTACCAGCTGTACAATAATGACTCTTTTGTCCAGGTTCTTTTATTTACATAAGCACATTACTGCCAACTCAAACATCACTTATGTATGATTAGTTTTATTTTTCTTTTATAAATTTCTATGTGAAAGTAGTATTAAATTGTGAAAGAGTTCATTATCTAATATTTAAATGTATTGGTTATGTATAGTTATTGGTTATCATCTCAAAAGTATGTCCTCTAGAACATATTTTTGATAACAGTTGCAGTATACCAGATCCATGATACTGTAACAAGGATCTGGTATACTGCAACTGTCCTTTTTTTCCCGTGTGAGTAAAATTTATCACTTAAGAGACCAAAGAAAACGACAACAAAGAATATATGTTTCCAAAACAATTTTGCAGTATGTGGCATGTATTGTATGTTCTTTCAACATGTCAGGGATCATGATTTCCTAATGAGAATTGAAAGGAAAATGTTGGTGTAGAAACACTGGCATGTCAATGATTAAATATACAATATTGACAGAAGTGGCACAAAACATATTTGAAGTAATGGACATAACTCCAATGTTCTTCCACAGCTCATTTTTTTCAATGATTATGTGGAGAGATGTAGTATAAACTCCTACAATCATTCCGTTATTCCAGAATATGACAATTCTACAATAAATTTTCCCTACATCGTAAGGCATTTAATAGCTCCGTTCTAGTTTTAATATCTTGATCAAAACATATAAGGTAGTGTTTCTAATGTACACTATAAAATATTCTGTAATTTTTTAAATTCATCTGATTCTCTTTTTGTTACAGATGAAGTGAAGAGGCTGTGTGATAATCAACTGAAAAATATTTTTTTCCATGATTAGATGTATGGGCATGTTTGTATATACATATGTATACATTCCATGTGTTATGTAACACGGTCCTTTCTATTGTAAATACAATCAGTTATTTAATAAATATTTTACAGAACTTAGACAACCATCTGCAAAATTTTATGAAATAATGTCTCGAGTTGATCTGTTCTTATCCAAACCTAATTAACAGGCTGGCTAGCTTGTAATTGAACTGAACTAAGATTAGAATGAGACATAACCAGTATGTATGATTTATGGATATTTTCTTACTGTACTTAAGATAGCCATTTATAAGAGCTTCCTGTTTATAGAAGATTGGATATTGGTTCCACAGGAATTTTTTCCTCACTCTTCAGAAGTTGAAATGTCAATTATTCATTTCCGACAATGGAATATCTCATTGGATATCTTCTCAAGCATCTTTAGCAAAGGCTTCCTGTTTATTGAACTTCCCTTTTAGTTTAGTTCATTTGTGGAAGGTGAAAATCTGCAGCAACTTTTCCTGCACATTTATTTTGGAAGGCACCGGTGCCTCTTGAGCTCCCATGTGTAATGTTCTCATTTTGATCAGGTGAGTGGGAACAGCATCTGTCAGGGCTTAAATCTAATCTTAACACATTGTGCATGTAGGGTTGAGATTTTTATTGTAAGGTGATGTACTCAAAAGGCATCATCTCAATTTAGAAAGAAAAATTTAATCCCTGTGAAAAGTAAGACAATATTGCAATAAATTGACATTTTACATTTAGATGAGAACAGTAAAAAGTGAAGGGAAAAACACCCACAAATGGTTCTAGAAACAAAGAGTCTAGTGGAGTAATGACTAGTGCATACACCCACGACCAGGGTTTGATATCCTAAGAATCAACATAGAACATGTGTTAAACTAAGTGATCCCTCAGTAGATTTTCTTGGGATACCCATGTTTGCTCTGCACCTTATTTCAGCAATTCTCCATTGTCACTTATTTACTCTTAATTTCCAAATGACCTCAAAGTCTTCAGGAGTTGAAGGGCCAAATTATAGAATCATCTAAAAGTTATCCCATGCATGCAGAGGAAATAGATAAAATCAGACCTTTTATAAGTAATTTTGACAGATGCCTTGTGTTGTAAAAAACATTTTCATATTAATTTAACGTACAATTTTTTTTCGTTATACAATACCTGCAGTTTTGTTTCCGTAACTGATATGACTTGTCAATGGTTTTCTAACTCGCAGACAACGAAAGATATGCAACTTAATTTTAATGTTGGATCAACTAATTGCCACTTTCCAACTCGGCAATGTAGAGTAGTGAAGTTATATTTTGAGAAATTTTACTCTATTGATGGGGAATTTAGCATGTCAATTTTGATAAACCTAGTACATGTATCCCTCCCCCCTAAAAGAAGACAGCCACACAGACACTTAATAGAAATCCACAGAATCTTTGTCTTAGTTAAGGTGGGGGGGAAAAAAATAATTAATGAAATGCCACATATTCATTTTGAATTCATGACAAAATTGAAAAATACCATCTTCAATTCTGTTTAACTGCAATAATACCCAATTGTCGCAATGAAACATGGCGGCAAGAAACGAAAACTATCTATCTTTTCTAATAGTCATTTTCTCAACTAAATGTAGGATATTCAAAACCAAAACAATGCAAATATTTGACAAACTTTGAAATACTCAACTTTCAGAACAAGTTCCCATTATTCAACTCGCATAGTCTGGAACTTCCAAAAAGTAGAATATGTTTGTGGTTAACCTTTTCTTTCTCAAACCCAGATCAGGCATTCATTACACCAATTTCATAATTCTGCCGGTAGGTAAATTTACAAGGAAGGTCAAAGAATAGAAGCAGGCACACATCTATTCTTAACTCATTTAGTATCATTTTATACAAAAAAATCATATTCTTTTCTCCCAATGTGTTAGAGGGCAATTTTATTTCTGTACTTGATGCCATCGCTCACAGGGCTAGAAGCGTTTTATACAATTTTCATTACCTCATCAAAGAGATGAAGCAATAAAACAATCAATGTTTCTCACATTTTAATATACACCAGTGAAGGCAAAACTTACTTCAGTAGTAGTTTCAACCTATCTCCCAATGTACAATTCTGGCAAAAAAGTTCCTTTTCTGACTAACTAGTGGAAAGAGATAATTTGATGCCAGTTTGAAAACATTGGCTCCTACAACAAATCATACAATCAAACTTTCAAAATTAACAATGCTACAAAATAATTATCACACTTCCAAGTTATCATTCATATATATCTTCCTTATCTGCAATGTATCGAACAATATCTGCTGGTCTCAGTAGTTTTTCTGCATCACCATCAGGGATTTCAAATCCTACAAAAACAAAACAAAACAACTTGTGACACTACAATTAAAATGTGCAAAGATTTTTTTATAAGATGATGACATACCAAACTCGTCTTCCATCGCCATAATAACCTCTACATGATCTAGGGAATCCAGTCCCAAATCATTGATGAAATGTGAATCTACTGTCAACTGCAATAAAATATTTTAGTTAGTATCGAAATTTTATTATATTACCATAAAAAAAAAATACTGGAACCAAAAAATGTGACATTCATATCTACATTTGATATCCATACCTTTGTGGGTTCTACCTTATCATACAGTTTTAAGACCAATAACACTCTGTCACGAATACTTTCTAGACTGAGAGGAGGCTTGGAACTAAAATATCTTTTTGATGTGACCAATCTCTGAAATAGAGAAATGGAAAACAAAAATAAAATACAAAGTACCTTGTCAGCAGTGACCTTGTCAAAGGCAGTGCAAACTTTAAGAACTCTTTCTCGAATTTGATCCACAGAGAGTTTGGCTTCTGCAAACCAACGTATTTGACTGGCATTTTGTTTGGGCAGGTGCTGCGGGAGTAAATTATAAATAATGTAGCACTTCTTAATTGATTTAAACTGGGGTACTTCAATTCCATGAAGGTTATGTCTCTAGTAAGGACTGCAATATTAGCAACTTCTGTTATTCTCAAAAAAATTGTATTAACATTTAAATCTTCATGCAAAACGAAATACAATGAAACTCGCATCACAGCCCCCGGTTGAATTGACAATGCAGTTCATTAATGAAGTGCAATTTACCTGCGGTGTTAGTAAAACCGATCGCGAAATAAACCCATCTTGATGTATATGCAAGGTTGTGTGTTGAGACCCTACAACAACTGCATTACAAAATGTTCTTCTAAAAATGCTTGCACTCCTAACTAAAGAATTCCTCATGTACGCTGCAACAGCCGCCATTTTCTTCGTATATATCAGGCCGGCTCAACAGAAATACGGCAAAAAGGGGACTATCTAGAGACGACTCGATGGGGATCCGTCCCGTCGGTCATGCGCACTTCTCACCGAGAACAAAGCAAAGCACTTACATAAGAAGGGAAGGGGCATAGAACTTTGATGTACTTGCAACTTGCGTGCTTGGTCTGGCGCCGATTTCGATTATCGATTAAGTTGTTCGATTTGCAATCGCAGTAATTCATTTGTTTCGTGTAACGATAGAAATATTATATAAATCGTTTCAATCAATATGCATGTGTAATCAATTACCCTAGTCATATTAGTTTTCTCCAGTTGATAAATCATCAATCGCAATCCTTTTTTTTTCTCGACTCATATTCCTTGAACTAAGAATCACCGCATTCCTCTCGAAATAACTATTTGACAATGACTTGTGGCAAATTAATAAATAAAAATACTTTAGTATTCAATACTGCTAAAATTTATTTACTGCATACAAACTCAGTCTTATAACACATTACTTCCATAAACTTATATCATTTAAACACATCCAACATGCAGTAGAAAAACCAGGACAGCTAATAACACATAAAAAACTTATTATAAAATTAATACCAATGTGAATGTTTAGTCTATATGACTAGCGCACATGAATAAGACAGGATACTGTGCCACATACATTACACAGTAGGTTAAGTGCACTCAAGAACAGATACAATACATTTTCTTTAATATTCAATGAGTATTCTCACTCCACTTGATGGGATAATTTCATATATGGTAAAGAATACACAATAAATATAGAAATAAATAACACATTAGTGGGCCCCGTGGTGGGAAATTCTAGTCCTTAAACTGCTTAGTACACAAAAAAATAATAGGGAACCAAGATATCACACTTGCAGAAGCATTCAACATTCGTTGCAGTGGAATAAGCTCACAGAAAAACTTTCCAAAGGAGCAACCCACCCTTTGCTTTGCAAACACCAGATGCTCAAATAGTAAAATTCACATAAAAATATTAATTTTTCTTTTGCTTGAGACCTCTTGCGACTTCTATAGCTGCACACCAAAATCTGCCAAGATACTTGTGAAGAAGCCCATGATGCTTCAAGCCAGGGAATAAGACAGCAGAGGTAACTGAAAATATCAGAAAACAACTTTAATTTCATAAACAAATTAAAGTATAAGAGAAAGGCCATATACAATAGTTACTAGCTAAATAAGCAAACATTCAACTTACTCAAAATATAAGTAAGCAGAAGATTATTTATCACATTTCCCAGCCAAGCAAGACAAAGTAGAGACGAAACAACAGCAGTGTAGTACTGGAAAAGAAAAATTAAGTAGCACAAAGAAACATTGTATACATACACAAGTATGAACCAAAAATTATTTACCACTCGAGGACGTGACTGACGCATGTCATAAAATAGAGCCCAATAGAACATCAATTGTGTTTGTGTAGCAATTAAATTGCGGCAAATTTCTTCCAGTTTACGTTCTTTCAGACCAGTCCAACTATCAGGATGGCAGATGCTCGCTGTCAAAGTTGGAACTAAATAATCAACCAATGTAGTTATGAGACCAAGAACAGACACAGTTGTCAATACAGACGGATCCAGGTACCACAAAAACCTTGTTAAACAATGAAATAATAATTAAACACAATTCAGTTTTAAATATATCAGATATTTCAAACATTAAACTTACAAAAATACTGTGGTTGTCAGACCAACCAACATTCCAGGATACCAATTCTTTTCCCACAACAAAATCGAGTTCACTGGTATGATTACTTCTCGCCATCCTTCTAACTCTCTTTTCAGCTGCTTAACACGTTTTTCCTGAAAAAGTTAATATATTTTACTGTCACATTCGTCATCCATTTTCCACAACAAAAGAGATAAATCCTCCAATTCTGTCAAAGCAAATCGCAACGGAATAAATAAGCAGATAAAAGCAATAAAGATACGGTGATGATACACTTATTTCACACAGAAATACCTGTTCTGTCGAGGCCATATTGTCCGCCATAATTTAAATTTACGACCTTTTTTTGAAGACAAATCGAAACACGAACCTTCACGTCTTAACACTTTTCACTTTCGCATTCGTCGTTTACGCCAGTTTACGCTGTTTTCCGTCGCGAACACATTTCGATTTCAAAGAACTTCAAGGAAAGCCATAACACACTTTGTCCCCAAGGAATATCCAACAGAGATTAGTAAAATTTTCTACATACAAATTTGTCATTTTGCCAAATATTTAAGATAACTTGCAAAATTTATAAATTTTGAATCCGACCGATTTATTAAATCAGGTACTAAATAATTTAGGGATGATTATCTAGCCCTAGGACACTGTGACGCACTGTGATTGGTCAAACAATTTGAAATGTTGCTTTATTGCGAACACAGGGAACAGCGGCGCTGGGTGTAGCTTTCGCTGTTGGCGCTGTTGTGACGTTAAAGCATTTTGTGCGTGTGTATACAATTTTGGATATAAACGAAGCCGTTATCTTTTATTTTATATTTTTTAAAACCTGTAATGGCTGCAATGAGTTCAGTGAGTTTGATTTAATTAAATATTTTGAAGCGTGAATTTGGAAATGTGTTAAGTGTTTACATCTTGGTTTAGACCGTTAAAATACCCTAAATTCTCTCAATGATATGAACATGTTCGAAATGTTTTATTTTGTTTTCTTTGTCTGTGTGTATGGGTTGTGTATTTTGGTAGAAAAAAGTGAAATAATGATGTGTTATTATGGCAAATTGTATTGTGCGTGGTCGGGAAACTTGTCTAGACTTGTTTATAGCAAAAGTGGGGTTATATTATGAAAGTGACAGGCCTATTTTTACGTTTTCTGATATAAGAAAAATAAGGAAAATTCGGATGTTGGCGAATTGTTCGTTCTTGGTGACTATTAATTTTAAATCCAATTTTTAATAGTGAAGTTGTGATTGGTAAACTTTAATTTTGTTTTAGATGTCAAATGTTGAAAATCTTTCGCCTCAAATTATCCGGCGAGTTGTTAAAGAAATGCATGATTTAGTAAATGATCCACCAGAAGGAATAAAAGTCAGTATTAATGATGAAGATGTAACAGACATACAAGCCTACATAGAAGGACCAGGTATAAAGTTTTACAAATGTATAATTTCCCTAATAATGAATCATTGTACAGATAGTAAATATTTAAGGGGACAAATATTAATTGCAGAATGTGTGTAATAATATAGGCCATGGTCATTTTTCTTTTCAGCTGGCACACCTTATTCTGGTGGAATTTTTCGGGTAAAATTAGCACTTGGAAAAGATTTTCCCCAAACTCCCCCAAAAGCATTCTTTCTTACAAAAATATTCCACCCAAATGTTGCAAAAAATGGAGAAATTTGTGTGAATACATTGAAAAAAGATTGGAAACCTGATCTGGGAATTAAACACATCCTCTTGGTTTGTATAAGCATATCATTTTTGTATGTTTATTTAAAGAGTTCTTGATGTTAACAAGGACCTTTAAATTTTTTCTTTTCAGACTGTGAAGTGCTTACTTATTGTGCCTAATGCTGAGTCTGCTTTAAATGAGGAAGCAGGGAAACTTTTACTGGAACAATACGAGTGCTATTCCCAAAGAGCAAAAATGATGACTGAAATACATGCACAGGTGAAGTATTATTTTATACTCCTCATATTTCATATTCACCTTCAAGTTAAGTAATTTTTTACCTCAATAATTTATTTGTTACAAATTTTTTCATTATTTAAAATTAATATTTTGTCCTAGGCTTATCATTAAAGATAAAATGGTAATATTTAACTGTTAAAATATATATCCTTATGTTTGGAAAATCCTTTAAGTGTATTTTCAAGCTGAATGTCAACATGTGTCAAAGATTTCAGGCACAACCTCAACGACAAAACAAAGAAGAAACTGATTTCAATGTGGGTCTTAAAATCCTTCTTTTCAGTGTTCTTAAAGTATTTTCCTCAGAGTTGATTCCCAAATGTGTTATTTGCCTTCTACTATAGCCCATTAGTATGCCTTAAGTACATTAGCGAGCTAAGCTTGTCTTGATGTACTTTAGGATTACCCATAGTAATTACTTTTGTTAGTTGCGATTTCATTTTTTCTATAAAGGATTCAGGGTGGTATACACTTTATGCACTATCTTGTACATTATGATAGTGTGAAATTTGTCCAAGAAGGTGCAGTTCCAGGCAGTAACCTTGGGTGAAGAACATGTTTAAAAATCCTCTGATATTTGTGAGAGACTGGATTATTTTTGAAATGTTAGAGATATGAAATCACAAGACGCAAAGCTTTGAGCTTAAGGAAAAGTGTGTTAATGTGATAGTATACCTATCAGAGTACACGAAGAAGTGCAGGAAATGAATTGAAAGAAGGGAGTCAATCGTGTGACTGAATGAAACATTCTCTATGAAAATATTGGCAACCTTTATAACATATGACTCGTAAAGGGAATATGTGGCGGAAATTTGTAACATAAAATAAGTTTATGCCAGTGAAAGTTACAGCAATTAGTTTTATTTGATTCTATCTTTGTTTTGTCACTAAAACAACACATCAGGGCCCATGCCATGATTTATGTATTGCATCTCCATAAACTATCTCAATGGTTCAGTCTCAATTTTTTTGGTTGATTTGTTCAGGCTCCTTTTTTTTACCTCTTGAGGACACACTCTTAACCTCAATCAGAAATGAGTTGAACCTTTATTTGATAATTTACCTCTAGACATTATCCAATGAATGTGATTTATGGGTGAATGTGTGCACACAAATGGTGTGACAATTACCAGATTTGAATCAAATAGTTATTTTGCTGTAAGGGACATTTTTGATGTTGGTTTATATAACTCTAGTACATGGGGCAAAGGTCTGAAATGTATTTGCAAAAACTTCCAATCAATGATGCTGTTTTGAACAGTGTGTGCCAAAGTAGAGAACACAAACAAGACACAGAACATGTGATTTTGAACTCATTGTGTTATGAATATAGTTTAATGCATTACATCAAACAGTTTTTGTAACGGAATATTGTTAAACATACCACATTTCAATGAGTACAATGTCTAGTATATTTCAATATTTGTTGATATTAGCAATAACATCATGCCACTTGGAAGTGAAGGATTTTCAAGTATGTTTATACATGGGCTCTTTTTATTGCAATCATAGGCTTCTGCTGCCAGTCATGTAAAGGCTCTCAGCTGTCTTGGAGAGGCATGATGCTGACATTTTGACCGTCTTGTGGCCTTCTTCAGGGCTGTGGTACCAACAGTGGAGTAGCCTTCTTCAGGACTGGTGTGATAATGGTGGCATTCCAGCCCTGAAGAAGATCACAATGTGATGGTCGAAATGTCAGCATCACTCACCTGGGCAGCCACAATAATTCACATGGCTCTTTATTGTTTTGCTTATTGATTGTATCTAAAATCTGTGTCACATGTTGACATAAATCTATATTCATTTGAGTAAGACATGACTATTACTCTGTGCATTGTCTTCCTTTGAATCAAGATATCTTTCTAATTCATAAATGTTATTATTGATATTTAAGAATTTAAATAATGTTGAATTGTGTAGCTTAAGACAGTTCCTCATTTGCTCTCTGCTGCAGCAAGAATTATGTGATAAATTTTACATTCAAACTTTGAGGAACTGGAACAGTGCTATCAGCAACAATTTTTAAAACTATTCCTTACAATGCCCTTAGTTTTGGAAACAGTAATTATTTCAGTATCAATAGATTAAGTCAGTACAGAATTTTCCGTTGAGGAAGTTAACATCCAAGAAATTTAAAGTTCAGTTCAGTTAAGGGAAGTATTTTGAAGTTTGTATGTTAAAACAAGAATGAATGAAGAGTAACGCAGTACTGTGTGTTGTCATGTGGTGTACTGCTGTTCTGTGTAATATTGAATTCTCATAGTTGTTATAGTTGTAATTCTTCTTCTTCTTCTTATTATTATTATCTTAATTTATTTTGTTAATCATTGCGATTGTACTTAATTGGAATTAAATCTATCTTTTAACATAATTTTGTGTTGTAGGCACCTAAGATGACGAAAGCTGGATTAGAAGTTGCGGCATCATCTGGTGATGGGCCAATGGCCAAAAAGCATGCAGGAGACAAGAAAGTGGCTGCTGAGAAAAAGAAGCTTTTGAAAGACAAAAAAAGAACTTTGAAGAGATTATGAAATTTTCAAATAAACAACCAATTGCTACACAAGTTTTCTTGAAAACAAGGGTACTTGAGGTTGTTTTTACGTGTAAATACTTACAAGAAGAGAAAGGCACTGATAGTAGACACACTTCTCTTGGAAATCCATTCGACTTGTACACCTGAATCCTTGTTAATACTGTCCAGCAAGGTTTACCACAGGATAAAGTTGGGTTGGGTATTAACACTTCTTGAATAACTTTCTGTGTAAATTTTTTGTGCTTGTTATTTATTTTTTAGGTCTTCTTATTGTTTATTTATTTTAAGTTTGTCTGAAGTAATGAAATTCCTGTGTACATTCTGCTGTTAGGGATAAAATCGAAGAAACAGAAAAGCATGTTCTTTGTCTTTTCCTTCTTCTGGCATGTGCCTTTCCATTATTAATTTGTGAAGAAGCTTATATGTGTTGAAGTGTCAAGAATTTTGAGAGTAAATGTGCATCGAGTGTGGAAGAAAACCAAAAACTGAATTGTCTTGTTTTAAAAATTCTGTTTTCATTGATTTTCTTTGTGCAATGCAGCTTTTATTTCTTTCAAACATTTTAGGGGTGAGGTAGTGTGATCTGTATATTGTGTGAATGCTGTGTGTAATGTCATAGTTGTAAATTGTGTTATTTGTATGGTCATTAAAGACATTTTAGATAGAAATGTCTTTGTTCTGGAAGAAAAAAATCTTACTTCCTGCATCCTGCCCATGGCATACTATGAAATGTACCTAATGCAAAGTTCTTTAGAAAGGGCATTAAAAAATTATTGCAGTGAATGTTGGAATTAAAAAACTTCAACAACTTGGAAATCCTTACAAATAAAAAAATAATTTTGTTTAATTGAAAGTTAGCTTACAAAGTATAATGTAGTGTACAGTCGTGCAAATTGGTATTCTCTTATAGCTGCAATTTTTTTCCATGTAAATTGAAATTAAAGGGTGGTTGAATATGCCCAATTGCAAGCATTACCTAACAGACTGAAATGTTAATCCAATAAAAATTTTCAGACATATAAATTTTATTTGTTTTTCATTAATTCTCTTACAGATAAATTTCTCCTAAAACTTGTTGTAATGTTAAATGGAAATTTACTCACTTAATTGCAATGCAAAATTGTTTTCTATTTTTTCAGCTGAAATAGGATATGGGACTATTATTAATCCTCACTTATTATAGTTGTTGAAGTTTACTATGTATTGCTAATAGGATGCTTTAGAATTTGGTATTAACTAGAATATCACATTTTGTTCAAATTAGGTATTAAATTTCTTTGCATAATATTAATTTGCAGAAAACATTCCCTGAACAATTTTCTAAAATTATTCCTTACCCATTATGTTAATTTTACTTCTGCTAAGTTGACATGTTTACACATAGAACAGATAAGGTGAAATTTGTAGACTTAAGCATTTTACTTACTGCATGCAAGCAAATGTGTTTTGCTTGTGATTTTGTCGAATCAGAAACTGTATTTTGTAAATGCAGTTTATCAGTGAGTATTAGTATCTATAAGAATGGTGCTACCAACATTTTTGTCTTGAAATGTGTGCTTAAGTGTTCTAAGTGGATTAAGTGGTATGACACCATCAACTTGAGAATTTCAAACTCACATTTACAAAAGAGTGAAAAGTTTATACAACTGCATGAAAGTAAGGGGGGTTGTTATTTATCAGAAAAATATTGGAGTATGATGTCAATTCTTAACCAATATGTTTTGTCATAAAATCCCCATTAAGTTTTTCTCTTATTGATACTTTAAAATCAGGAAGTCTATGCCATATAGTATCAAAGTCATTCTGTAGTTTCAATATGTACTTGTGTGTAATCTTTTCAGTCACAAAATTTTAAGGTTTCTAGGGCTTAATTCTGTATGGAAAATCAGTTGACAATAACTACCGAGATGAGAAACGATTAATCTTTGTGCATTATTTTAATACTGAAGAAACTTGTATGAAAAAGAAAGCCAGAGGTTGGATTGTATTAAGTGAATATTATTTGTGAGAAGTGTTATGATGTCTGACAATCTGTGGTCAATTCATTTTGTTTCAAAGCAAAGGTATGCAGACATCAAAATACCTGTCATTCTAAAGTGTTGTTTTTGTATTCCAAATGTTAATTCTTTCTCATTAAAAATTTGTTTGTAAATTTACAAATATCAGAATTTTTACTGAGGATTCAATAAGGGCTATTTGAGATCATTAGCCCAAGTTCTACTATTGAAATAAATAGAAATTACTCTTATATCCTGTTGGAGAGTGACTGTCAGGGCTGGGATGGCCAATGACAAATGCTAGTGGAGACAGTCATGGGGAAAATTGTATAAAATTATAATTCGTTTAATTCTTCCACATAAAAATATTACATTTCAAAAATATGTTATTCTATGTAATATAAATTTCACATGAATACATAGGTAATTTTCAATGGACAAACATTTTTGCCCATTTCCTACAAAAGAGCAAATGTACAGAAATATTTTAACAAGCATTTTTTTTTATAGTTTATATGATAATTTTTGTATAAATATAATAAACAGTAAAATAAATATTTTAAAAATTTGTGATAAATTAATACAGTAATTCTGCATTGTTCTTTATTAAATTTGCATATTGGTGGGAGACAAAAGCCATGCCTGATAAGGCTACAGCTTGAAAGAGGCAAACTGTCTTACAAAGATTATGTACTCAAACTTTCGTAAGCACTATGAAACTGTTTTTAAGTATGTGCTAATTGTAACAATCTTTTAAATCCTTTTTTAGTTAATCAGCTCTTTCTAAGACATTCTCTCCCTCACATTTTATTCCAGGGCTAGTTTTAAAGAAAAACTTGTAGTGCTGATAATAACTGTTGCTGCGGGGCAATCTTCAGATTCCTACATCTTGATGCAATTGCTTTATGCAATTAATTCTAAACAATACTGAGATAAGTGCGTGAATGTCGTGTAACCACACTTAGGAATGAATAGTCTCTTCTGGAACCAGAATATTTGGTGATGAATTCTAGGCAGAATAGTGAGGGAAGCCAAACATTTCACAAATCTAAAAACTCTTTTAGTGGAGTAATGCAATTTTCGGATAATATAATATCGGTGGCTTTTATTACTCATGCGACAACTGTGAAGTCCCGCACGACATCATAGTCAAAAGTATGTATACATGATTAAGGCGAGTGTCGAAAACGTTTTTAAGAGAAACACGGCCTGCCACTTTCTTGTTCCCTTTCGACTCTCGGGTAACAAAAGTGCTGCCTCATGCACTGGGAAGTAAGAAGTACGTGCTCGTACGAAATATTCAGGGGAAAAAGGGTCTCGCCTGGTACCCAATCGCCGAGTTCGCACCCCTTCTTCTCGAGAACGGAGGTTTCGGCTTGCAAATGTTCCCATAGAAACGACCGGAAAGTTGTCCCCGGTAATCTGAAATGATTTGATGAAATTTACCGTATTTAATTGAGCGAAGATAAAGTTACTAGTTTCGCTTATGCTCGGAAATCAAGGGCCGAATTCATAGCCGACACTCAAGAAATATGGGTATCCTTAGGAGTAAAAAAAAGGTCTAGTGGTTCTAAACAGCTCATACCTTCTCGCCCTTAGTTATCGGGTGTATTATTATACCGTTTTTTCGTCCGTGTTTTCATTATTTTGGTTGGATGAAATTTATAACAAAACTAAAACGTTTCATTTTTGATACCAACTCTCAGTCAAAAGCTGTAAACTGTTCCAACTTCGTACGTTATTTTTGAAAAAGTTAAATCAATATGAAATAGTAAATGAACGAATATATTATAAACAATTACGAAACAGTTTATTTCCAGCACAATATACAGAAAAGCAAGGATAATTTCACAAATGAATTGAACATCCAGAACAAAATGCCATCCAACATATCTAATTAATAATGCATTCGAAACTACGTTATCATTACCTTATGCATATCTGTAAATAAATGAATATTCTTCTCGACTACTCAGATAACTCAGTTCGACGGTATAGAGGAACAACTAAAAGGGTTTCAATGAAATCTAGTTTTCAACCCTGTCATGAACTAATTCATTTACCAAGGAATTTGAGTGGGCTGATGATGC